GAAGCTCACTGCCTGTGTCCAGGGTAGGTTGTAAACAGCAGCTTTCCTGGCTAAGGATTTGTACAGAGTACACAGTGTATGCAGAAAGTGTTTAGTACTGTGTTTAAAAAGCCCTCAGAGGCCTTTTGGTAATAATTTGTAACAAAGGTTCAAATTCAGTACAAAAGTTAAAAGTGCATGCACTAGACACGCATGGTAAAAGGATGCAAATTGAAACTAAAGAAGTGCTTTCCACAATATTAAACTCTTACTGCCAGCCATACACTTACATGCTGCCTCTCAGTGGGTGGGCTTTAACGCCAAATGGCCACATATATACAGTTTAACGTAAACACTTTACTGTGCTTATAGCACGCTCCCTGCATGCTCCCAGCACAGTAATGAACATGTACCAGAAAGCTCCTGATGCATACTTGCGATTGGGAGCTTTCTAATCATATGATTTCTTTACAGCCAATCACCAGGGTCACGTGATCGAAATGCAAGCCTCCACCTCCCGGCATTTATATCCTTTTAACTGGCTGGGAAGCGGTTAACTCATATTATGTATAATAATAATAACAACAGTTCACAGATTGTTTTGCAACAAAGCTACATACTGTATAGTAACCTTCCTTTAGACTTTACACCTCTTTGTTTTTACATTTTCCAACAAACAGCACTTTTTGACATGCATTTTAAAGCTTTTGCTTTTCACAGATTTCAATAGAAATACATGTGTATCAAAAATGCAAAGGTGTGTGGACATTGTCTCAAGCAACCAACTGCATTATTTTTATGGTTATCTCTAGTACTGGTTATAGATGGAAATTGTTGCATCAAATAATAAAAAAAAATTGGTACGTTTATCAATGAAAGGGCATGGTGAACAAAAAAAAAGAAATAAGTTACCATTCAGTGGTAAGAGGGTCTTTTCAGGCAGCTAGAAAATACAAAAATCCTTTAAATAACATGCATAGTGGATGCCTTAGTTAGTACATGGTTTTACACTACATTTCTGGGACAGCATAAGTAGCACCACATTCTATTAGCACATAAACTAGATGCACTTTCTTTTTTTTTTTTTAAGCATGTATATCTTTTTTTTTAGTTATTGCAAGAAAGTACAGGAACAACTTTGCAATGTTCATTGATTTATACAATTTAAGAAATAATCTGTAGGCGGTATTGATACAACCTTTGTGGCATACATAATAATATGATTTCCTCGCCAATATATTTTCTATATGTTCTTGATTAACAAAGTTCTTTACTTTTCCATCTCCTTGCATGTACAAATAGCTCAACATTATAACCTACCTAAATTTGGCTTCACAGCCATAGTTGTAAGGTAGTGTTATAGAACAAGTACAGTTGTGCTCAAAAGTTTGCATACCCTGGCAGAAATTGTGAAATTTTAGCATTGATATTGAAAATATGACTGATAATGCCAGAAAAAATGCTCTGTTATTGAAGGATGATGATCATATGAAGCCATTTATTATCAAATAGTTGTTTGGCTCCTTCTTAAATCATAATGATAACAGAAATCACCCAAATAGCCCTAATCAAAACTTTACATACCCTGGAATGTTTGGCCTTGGTACAGACACACAAGGTGACACACACGGGTTAAAATGCCAATTAGAGGTTAATGTCCACATCTGTGTCTTTTTAAATTGCAATTAGTGTCAGTGTATAAATAGTCAATGAGTTAGCTCTTACGTGGAAGCCCTGACTAGGCTAGATACTGAGCCATGGGGATCAGAAAAGAACTGTCAAAAGTCCTGCACAACAAGGTAATGGAACTTTATAAAGATGGAAAAGGACATATAAAGATGTCCAAAGCCTTGAATATGCCAATCAGTTCTGTTAAATCACCTATTAAGAAGTGGAAAGTTCAGGAATCTCTTTTTTGATCTGGGTGATTTCTATTATCATTATGATTTAAAAAGGAGCCAAACAACTATTTGATAATAAATTGCTTCAAATGATCATCATCCTTCAATAAAAGAGCTTTTTTTTGGCATGATCAGTCATATTTTCAATATCAATGCCAAAATTTCACTATTTCTGCCAGGGTATGTAAACTTTTGAGCACAACAATAACTAGTAATATTTAACACTGAACAAAGTAGCCAACACCTTGCTAATCTAGTCCCCTATGGAACAGCATTCATCATGTTGTGGGCTTACTCTGTCTCTGCCCCTGCACTAATTAAAGAACGTCTAATCTGCCCACCGTACCCTGTAACTTTGTATTGTATTCCAGAAAGTATATTGCAAATCTGATATTATTTCTATTAGCTGGGCTCTGGTAAGCTTGGAACTGAGATATGCAGACCAAGAAGCAATTTTTGGTATGAAGGGCATTATTCCATTATTTGTATTAGTTTTGTCTGTTAGCCTTAAATTATGTAATATGTTCTGAAGATCATCCAGTATAGAGGGGTAGGCAGTAGCCATTGTGTTAGTATTATATTTCATTGTTTCATTTTCTCAGGTTTTTATCTATTGTGTGAATTTCCTAGCAGCCAGCAAGAATAGTATTTCCTGTTCTGTTAAAGGGAACATGTTCCCACTAAACAATAGGGGTAGTTAAGTGCTACCTATTCATAAATACACAAATATATAAGTAGTGTCATATTGTTCAATTACACTATTCAAAGTCCATAAATGTGCAAAACTGTGCAGGCTCTTAAATCATGTCTGTACTGTATTCTTCTTAACCACTTGCCCTCCAGAGGATTCACCCCCCTGCCTGACCAGGCCAATTTTTGGCAATAAGGAGTTGCATTACTTTAACTGTCAACTGAGCGGTTATGCAACACTGCAACCAGATGAAATTTATGGCCTTTTTTTTTTTACCACAAATAGAGCTTTCTTTTGGTGGTATTTGATCACCTGTGCATTTTTTTTTATTTTTTGCGCTATAAACAAAAACGACAATTTTGAAAAAAAAAAACTATATTTTTTACTTTTACTATTAAATATGTCCAGTAAAAAAATTTAAACAATAGAGTTTCATCATAAATTTAGGCCAAAATGTATTCTGCCACATGTCTTTGCTAAAACAAATCCCAATACGTGTAAATTATTAGGTTTACATGAACATTATAGTGTTTACAAATGGCAGTATATATACAGGAATTTTTTTTGTTTATCTTTACTAGGATCAGTAACTTATAGTGAGACTGCAGCAGGCATTCTGACACTGGGGGGAAATGACTTGGTGTCACTGACATCCCCAGTGACACCAATACAGTGATCAGTGATAATAAAAAGCACTGACACTGCACTAATGGCACTGGGCAGGAAGGGGTTAAAATCTGCGGAAATCAAAGGGTTAACTGTGTGCTGTGTGCTGTTTTACTATGGGGGCTGTGTGTGTGTTTCACTGTACGCACACTGCTTTGTATGGCTCTGCTATGCAGGAGCTGACAGGGGAGATATCTGTATTGTTTACATACAGGTCTCTCCCCTGTCGGAAATCGTCAGAGATTGCCGGGTGACAGTGGGGAATCACCAGCAGGGACCCGGTGATTGATAGCTGAGACAGCGCCCCCTACCCAAAACGTCAAAATCACGTATATATACTTGATTTTGCGCACCTGTGCCACCCTTTAGCAGTATTTCTGCTATAGGGCTGCATGGAAGTGGTTAAAAAGTGTTTATTAACACACTGTGCTCCCTACCGGTAATCCCCCTCACTCACCGTCTTGAGTGGACTCTTAGGTTTAAATAAAAGTCTGGTACGCTTAGTGGGAAAATCCTGGTATTGCTGGGTCTTGTAGTTCTCCTCAATGTGGAGTGGTTCCTTTTTTGAGAAGATCAGATTCAGCGGTCATAAGATGTAGGTATTCATAGGAAGTGAAGAGAGGGACCAAATAGCGTAATTCCATTTATTAAAATTATCAGGCAAAATAAATACATTGCACTCACATGATTAAATATAATGCCAAGCATATAAGTGTCAAACAGAAACAGCGCAACAGCGTGCGCTCCACCAACCAGAAGTGATGTCACCATGGCTCTCATCACTGACGCGTTTCACCCTTCCTACTGGGCGTCTTATGTAGTAGTAGCAGCCTTTTTTCTGATTTATTTAAAAATATTTCTGTTTCTGGTTTTGATTTTATTTGCTTCAGATTTACGTTATGATAGCTTATAGAGCCACATAGTGAGATTTGATTAATGTTTTGAGGCACATAGTCACTGCATAAAAAGGAATTTTATACTTACCTAAGCGCAAGTTATAAGGGTGTTTTTAACCTTTTTTGTATTTTAAGCTAGTGATATGCAATAGGCAGATGCTGAGGTTGAGATGTCTGTGTATGCCCAATACCCTGTGCATAAATGAAAGTACTTTTTCTGTAATTAATTTGTTTACTCTTACATTATTCCTTGGCTTACATACAGCAGTAAACCAATGTGATTGATTTCCACTCCAAAAAAGTGTTTAATAGGTAGTTTTGCAAAGATAACTCATTTTTTTGTGTCAGCAATAGATAAGAATTGACCGGTGGAAGTAGCAGAAACAATTAAGCAAAAATCTACTGAAAGTTATACTTTTAAAAAATATAAAGATACCGCCATCTACTTCTACAAACTGGCAAACAGTGGTAAAGCAAATTTATAACATAGCTTGTGATCCTCTCTTCAGTACCACACTGTATTGTGTGCAAAGTTTAATAATATGTCAACACAGAGTGCACCAAACACCTCAAAACCACAAACACAAATTCCAGGAATTAGGCAGTTTATATGTGGAATTACAGTGTCATCAGGGGCGGACTAACCATTTGGAAACTCGGGCACTGCCCGAGGACCCGGGGTCAGTAGGGGGCCCCATGAGATGTCCCTGGTACCTTTTTCATAGGCTTTTTTGAGTTTGGGCAAGGACACAGGGGCCCCATGATTCCCTATAGCCCAGGGGCCCCATGAGTTGTCAGTCCACCCCTGAGTGTCATGCTGCAGATTAGAGATGAGCTGAGTGTTTGGTCCAAGTATAAGTTCTGACTGAACATTTGTGGGTTGCACATTTGCTGAATCCTGAACCTTTGGGACGTTTGGTGGGAATTTCTCTGATGAACATCCCATAATGCATTGCCAAAGCAATCAATGGCTAAAGTGTTGCACCTGACCAGGGGCGGACTGACCATTTGGAAACTCGGGCACTGCCCGAGGCCCCGGGGTCAGTAGGGGGCCCCATGAGATGCTCCTGGTACCTTTTTCATAGGTTCCATGAGTTGTCAGTCCGCCCCTACACCTGACCTTTTCTCAGGCACAAGACTGGCTAAAGATGGGTTTCAGTTACAGCCCACACACTATAAGCCTGGGTTCACATGCGGTGCGGTATATTGCATGTGATTCACACAGGAAACGCAACGCATTCCTGTTCAAATCACAAATGCAAATTGTGTGCGGTGCGACCGGAGTCATACATTTTGTATTGCTCTAATCGCTCGCACATGCACCAAAAACATGCAGGACCCTTTTTGGGTCCACACTAGAATCGGATCGCATAGGTATTCACACCTACGCAATCCAATTCTTCACATCACACCGCATTTTTGGACTGCTTTTGGGGTGTTGTTTACTTAATACACACATACCCGCAGCGGTTCGCATGAATGGGGTGCGATTCTGATGCGGTGTGGTATTTGCGCTGAAAACGCTGCAAATTCCTCACCGCATCAGTGTCAACCAGGGCTCAAAGGCTACTTTATCACCAGATCTTTGTCAATATATTGAGAGTGAGGGAAAGCTGACATTATTGTGGGGAGAGAGAGTTGTTTAGTGTAATGTGTTACTGCTGCCTTGTGCTTTATACAGTATTCAGTGCTATTTACAGTTCTAAATTCAGTGCTGCATATTTGTCTCTGATACTTTGCAGTGAATTGCAGTTTGTGTTTCTAGGAAGAGTGGAGTGTAAGTCAACCTGCATTCACTGTGATTTCTTACAACCCAACAGTTCTTTTTAGGACTGCCTTTTGTGTGCACCTGCTTGTGCACATGCGTTTCGCATGTGCATGTGTGTGTCAGAGGCAGATATTGTTGTTATGTTGCTGATGTTCCCCATTTTTTTGTTATGTTGGGGTGTTTCTTTGCATTTCTTTAAGAGTAGTAAGTTTCTTTTTCTTTTTCCCTTAAACAATAAATAAATAAATGCTTTTACTTTGCTTGTAGTGATTTTGGGTGGGGGTTTGGCGTAAATTTTTAAAGTTCTTTTGTATTTGAGCTTTTCTTTGTTTGGGTTTTATTTATTAAGTTAATATAATAATTTATCTTTTTTTGGGGTCAGCAGCAGCATGAATCTGTCCTGCCCTTTGTTTGCAGCAGAACAATGCACCACCTGTTTACTTCATCAAGGCACCACAGTTTACAGTGTGGTTTAGTGTAGAATATCCAGGCTGCATGAAAAAATAAATAAATGTACCCACACTGCTGTATTGCTATCCCCTGATATTTGTGATCTTAGATTAATATAAATATACAGTGCTATAAAATCCCCAGTAATAATGCATTTTAAATCACTACCACTTCATATATCACAATACCTGTAATCCGTGATCATTGCTGAAATAACAAAATAACCTGCATGTTAACAGAATATTGCTTGCAATAATCAGTTACAAATCATACCAAGGACAAAAACACACATAAAACTGGTAAACCGCTTTACCACTGCCCAATAGCAGAAATACTGCTACAGGGCAGCAGGGGTGCGCAAAATCACGTATCACGCACAAGCCCTACCCGCAGAATGCCTACCGCAGTCCCGCTATAAATCATGGATTGTCGCCATTACTAGTGGGAAAAAAAAATTACAGTATCTATACCGCCATTTGTAACTTTCTCATAAACCAATTAATTTGCACGTATTGGGATTTTTTTTTAGCAAAGTTATATAGCAGAATACATTTTTGCCTGAATTTTTTATGAAATTAGATTTTTTTAACCTTTTACTGGACATGTTTTATAGCAAAAACTCTGATTCACCAGTCCACTTTAAGCATTCAAGAAACTAATAAAGCAAAACATCTTTATATGTTCATGTTGCTGATTTCCTATCTTCACTAAATATGTCATCCAACTTCCGTTAAACTCAGTAGTTGCTGTTAAATGGCCTATTTATTTTCAAATCAAGCTGTTAAGTCTCTTTGCTTTCCTGTTTGTAAGACCAGTGGCTGTTATGCCTCCTATTCCCTCAGCCACTGGTGTTGGCACATCCCTTCTGTAGTTTGTTCTCCAGGAAGCAATGATATAATTCAGTCCCACTTGCAGTGGTGGGTGCACCGTAACTCTCAGGCACATTCAAGATTCATCTTACAATGGGAAAGTCACATACTTCAACCTACCCTCACTGAGGAAGCAGAAGATGAAACACCTGGAGGATTCACTATGGAGGAAGCAGTGTCACTAATTTTCAGAGGCTGACTGGATAATGTCTCATGGACTAGGTTTCTTAGAGACTCCTGTCAGTAAAAGGAGTGGTGGTGCGGGTGGATGCCTAAGTGATGCCCTTAAAAATGTTTCAGTCTTCAGCACCAAGGTCTGTCTGCTGCCAACACCTATCAGCAGCTGATACATCACATGGTGGATGATTAGCTGGGTGTAAGAGTGGATACAGAGATCCTTCAAATGGATGTTCCCCCTTCAACTATCGTGTCATGAGGATGGACTACAGGCCAGAGCTTGCCCAGTATGCATTTCAGCTGCCAGCATGCTCTCTGAACACTAAAGTAGGTATCCCTCCAGAGTTACATAGTTACATAGTTAGTCTGGCTGAAAAAAAGACAACAGTCCATCCAGTTCAACCGTAGAAAAAAAAAAGTTATAATCTTACACCCACAGTTGATCCAGAGGAAAGCAAACACAAAAACACAGCAAAGCATGATCCAATTTGCACCTGCTGGGAAAAAAATTCCTTCCTGATCCCCCGAGAGGCAATCAGATATTCCCTGGATCAACTTTACCTATAAATGCGAGTATCCAGTTATATTCTGTGTATATAAGAAAGAATCCAGGCCTTTTTTGAAGCAATCCACTGAGCTGGCTAGAACCAACTCTTGAGGGAGTCTATTCCACATTTTCACAGCTCTCACTGTGAAGAAACCTTTCCGTGTTTGGAGATTAAATGTCTTTTTTCTCCCAGATGTAAAGAGTGCCCCCTTGTCCTCTGTGTTGACCTCAGGGTGAATAGCTCTACACCGAGTTCCCTATATGAACCACTGATATATTTATACATGTTGATCATATCCCCCCTTAATCTCCTCTTCTCAAGAGAGAATAAATTCAGTTCCTCTAATCTTTCCTCATAGCTGAGCTCCTCCATGCCTCGTATCAGTTTAGTTGCCCTTCTCTGTACTTTCTCAGTCCCCCCAATGTTCTTTTTGTGAATTGGTGCCCAAAACTGAACTGTATATTCCAGATGAGGTCTTACTAATGATTTGTACAGGGGTAATATGATATCTCTCTCTCTCCGGAGTCTATACCTCTTTTAATACAAGAGAGGATTTTGCTCACTTTAGAAACCGCAGCTTGGCACTGCATGCCATTATTAAGTTTGTGATCTACCAGAACCCCCAGATCCTTCTCCACCATTGATTCCCCCAGTTGTACCCCCCTAGTATATATGATGCATGCATATTCTTAGCCCCAAAATGCAGAACCTTACATTTATCAACATTAAACCTCATTTGCCACATAGTTGCCCAATTAAACAGTGCATTGAGGTCAGCTTGTAAGTTGAAGACATCCTGTAAAGATGTTATTCCACTGCACAGCTTGGTGTCATCTGCAAAGACTGAAATGGGATTTCTAATCTCAGACCCTATATCGTTTATAAATATATTAAAAAGTAAGGGTCCCAACACTGAACCTTGGGGTACACCACTGATGACCCCAGACCATTCAAAGTATGAATCATTAACCACTACTCTCTGAATATGATCTTTTAGCCAGTTTTCTATCCATTTACATACGGATTTTTCCAAGCCCATAGACTTTACCTTACATATTAGTCGTGTGTGGGGAACTGTGTCAAATGCTTTTGCAAAATCCAAGTATACCACATCCACCGCCACCCCTCTGTCCAAGGTTTTGCTCACCCCCTCATAAAAAAGAAATCAGATTTGTTTGACAACTTCTGTCTTTCATGAATCTATGCTGTCTGTTGCTTAAAATATTTTTTTCCAGCAAGAACTCATCTATGTGGTCTTTTATTAAACTCTCCAGTATCTTCCCAAATATAGAAGTTAAACTAACAGGTCTATAATTACTTGGTAAAGATTTTGACCCCTTTTTAAATATTGGCACCACATTGGCCTTACGCCAATCCAGTGATACTATGCCAGTCATTAAAGAGTCCCTAAAAATTAGAAACAAGGGATTTGAAATGAGTGTTGGGCTGAATATGGGTCTTGCAGGACTAAGTGCACTCCTTGACCTACAAGAGAAGTAACTTTGACCCCACTTCTCCTTTAATAAGGATGAGATTCTTGGCCTTAAATGTATACAATATGTATATAATATCTTTACAAATATATAGTCTAAGTTAATTACTTGCTGCCTGCCCTGTGGGCGCGCTGTAGGCAAAGCGATGTACTGATACGTCATCGCTTACTTCCTGGTTTAGGGCACATGCCCGGCACCTGCAGTGATTGCTTGGCCAATGTTTCATGGCTGCAACCTACTGATCGACTGTGTTCAATCACAGCCAAGAGCTCTATTGGCAGTCCAAACCAGAATTATAGCTGTGGTGTAAATCTGCATGCTAGTTCCAGCATCAGTGTCCAAAAAAGCCACAATTTGTTTTTAGAGATGCAAAATTTTAGATTTTAAGGTGCAATCAGATTTTTCTCTCTCATTCCAAAAATTGTGGCCTATCCAAAAGATGTTCGACAAAACTGTTACATTTTTCAGTCTACACACTTAGAAAAAAATAGTTCTTCATTTTCTTTTTTTTACATGTAACCTGCCTGCTCACTCCCTCTAGTGGAAAAGCAAAAAGGCTCTAAGAAGTCTACACCAAGCGTTTATACAGTAGTTGTTCAGTTCAGTTTTTCTGCTAATCAGGTCCGTTTTTCTGGCTTGTTGCTCTGAAAAAGCACACTCTAATTTATATTTTGGGAAGA